TCCGCTGGGGCGGTATACAAGGTCCATGTTCCAGTGCGGGACTTTTTCCAGATGGAGAAATTCGTCTTCGTGGTGACCGCTGCTGCTCTTACCATGGCCGATGTGGCCCATTCCCCAGTCTTGGCTGCCTTGCGGGCCTCCTCCTGGGGGTAGCGTTTGTTATCCGTCATGGTGGCGGACACGATCATGCGCAAGTTGGCTTGGAGTGCGCCGCCAGGGCCCATCTCCTTCTCCGCCATCTGCTTTGGCTTGGATTGGTTCGCTCGTATGCCGTGGGAGGCCATCAAGAAGAAACAATCTCCTTCCCCCCCGCAGCACTTCTCATTGAAATATGCCTCCCATGGAGGCCTCATGGGCGCCTGTGGAGCTTGTGGTGGTGCTGCTGCTGCTGCTGTGGCTGCTGCTGCTGTGCCAGGTTGCGGCGGCCGCTGCGGTCCACCTTCCTCGGCATTCGCCATGCCCACGTCGCCGTCCTTGTCTCGTTCTTCTGCTTTCACGTCTGCTGTCGTCTCCTGCACTGGAGCCCTGGCCGGCGCGGGAGTCCCCCACGCTGATGCTCCTTTGGCCTGTGGAGGCGGTCGTGATGATGTCCTGCGAGGCGCAGCTAGGCTAGCTATGATCCCCGACTTGAAAGTGCATACCTGATCTTTGACCAATCCGTCCAGATCAGCTCGTAGAAACCAGGCTCTCTTGCTCGATCGTGTGATGCCGTCAATATTCTGGAACCCTCTGGCTTTAGCCCACTCCTCGACCTCCTGGGATGATGACCAGTGCTCAGGGCACTTCTGCAAGTACCATCGAGGTTGGATGTCCGCCGCCATGGGCTTCTGGGATAAGATTCCTAAGGATGCATTGTCTGATGGGCGATACACCAAGCGGCCCTCGACCTGGGCGGCTGCAGCAGTCACCCTGGTGAAGTACGTCATCATGTTCTCGCCCTCGCGTAGTTTGTGCCACACTGGCACCAGCTTACTAGATTGTCTATTCAAAAATACCCCTGGCGGGGCGGTCCACTTCAATAATGCCTCTGTATCATTCTCTCGCACAAGGATAATCGCCGTCGACTCTGTCTGGTAGTTGACTGCTCCCTTGACCTTCAAAATCTTGGCTGCCAGCACTTGAGGAAATAGTACCGTCGCCATCGCCACTGGTTTCTCCTTGACCGTCGCATACGTAGCATCGTCAGCGAACGCCTCCGCAATCGTGAGCCGTAGTGCTGCCGTGGCCAAGGGTGGTGCTGTCGAGACCTCATCATCCTTCAAGCCCGTGGGTAGCCCCTGGCGAGTCGGTGGCGAGGTCCCTGTCATAATAATCTGAGCCGTGTGTGGTCTGACCCCAACAGATGTCTCACACATGACCTCCGTAGTAGTAGCCCCAGCCAAAATCGACGGTGCATTGAAGACAATGAACGTCATCCCACTGGGTTGTTCTTTGATGGAGCCGAGCCACTGTGTGGCCTGCTCGTACTCTGTGGCCGACTGGCACGTGATGACAGCAGGGCCGTCCAGTGTCGTCGCCCTGATATTCGCGGCCTTGACGATCTTCGCCGTTCCCCACGGCTGAGAGTGCACGACCAACTTCGTATCCTGCGCCTTCTCGGCAGCAGGTCCCCCGTTCAACCACGTCGATGCTGCCGTGGTTCTCGAGAGGAGGCCGCGCAGCTTGTCCTGCACTTGCTCCTCTGTGACCTTAATGTGATTGACCCGCATGTACTTCAGATATTCGCGAATCTTCTGAAGTGTTGGCGGTACTTGGGTATTCTTGGGCGTGCGCTTCTTTGGCGGCTTCCCCACAGCCACCTGAGACTCCACTCCCATCTTCTCTGTCAACTTATTCAAAACTGTGGTGATCTGGGTCACCTGGTTGGCAAGATCTGCTACCTCACGACGCCCCTTCGTCGCTTTGGCTGCACTCTTCCCGCCACGTCGGTTGACTCCTCCTCCGAACAATGGGTCGTCTGAGGAATCCACATCTTCAACTGATCCGTCATGCTGAACATCTGGTTCAGCAGTACTCACTACCCGGCCACAAGGGTCAAGGAGTGTTACTTCTTCCCAAGATATTTGATGTTCGTCACCTTGACTGCGGGGTGCAGTCTTCGTCTCGGACAAGGGGTCCGACCCGACGGCCCCGAGCACGATGTGCAGGAGGGTGGTGACAATACCGTCGATGTTCATCACCGCAAGGAACATGAACATTATGTAGACGACGTATACAACGCACGCAAAGCCCCCTAATGGCTCCAGCCTCTCGTAATAATATGCCCAGTCGTTGCCTCCTGTCGTGGCCACTATCAGCGAGAACACCGCTGTCTCTACCTGTCCAAAGTGCTCCAGCAACTCTTTCTCTTGGGCGGGGCTCAGGTTGCCATCCGAGAAAGCGGCAGCCACACTTTGGACGAAGTAAATGGCGAAGAGGGATGATAGGAATCCGAGCAGTGCACTCGCCCAAACCAAGGGCCAGACTGAGTGCACCAAACAATCTATCATTACGCGGATGTCCTTGAACGCGTGGAGGGCGCGCATCATTCGGAGGACTTTGACGACCTTGAAGATGCGGAGGATCCGCAAAAACGTAGGGTCTACTGCGCCCAAGCCTGTTTGCAGGAGTGGTAATATCGAAATCTCGAACAGAGCCATGAGCACCAAAGCCAAGTCCAATATATTGAATGCCGCGTCTTCGTTGGCGAAGAAGAACAATCGGTGGACCCAGAGCTTCAAGACGAGCTCAACACAATAAAATGCAGTGAAAACGAATTCAGCCGACGTAATCGTGTCATTTGCATCGGAAGTCCCCACTGAGTGATTCGCCGCCCAGACAACGAATATACAGTTCAAGAGAACGACCAAGTTGCAACCGATTTCAAATGCCCTGCTTTGAACAAACTCCGCTAGAGGTCCGTGGTGTTGCGGCTCTTCCACGTTCATTCCTGCCGTGACACCCCTGATCAACCTCTCGAGCCCACCCCGTTCTGAGTAGCCCAGGACAGAGTAGCTCGCCGCAGAACAGCTCGATTCTTTTGTGGTTCCCCTGGCATCTGGGTCGCTCCCGCCGCGGCTGCTCACCCTTCGCGCTTCGCCGCCTCCGAGCGGATCGCTCCCGGCTGGATCGACGTCGGCGAGGCCCCCGATCGCCACGACGGGCTTCGACGGGCTTGGCGGCGAGGGCTTCGGGGCCTCGCGCTCCCGCCGGCCGCCGGCCGCCGCCTCCTCCTCGACCCGCCGCGCCTGCGGGGGCACGCTCCCGCCGGCCCGCGCGGCGGGCGGCGCGCCGCGCGCGGAGGCCGCCGCCGAGCTCTGGCCGCGCAGCAGCGCCTCCCCCACCGCGCGCCCGAGCTCCTGCCCGATCAGCTCGGCCGCCCGCGTCAGCTCCGCCCGGTGCTGCGCCGCGGCCTCCTGCAGCGCCGCCGCGTGCCGCGCGAGGGCCACCTCCAGCTGGCCCGGCAGGGAGGCGGGCGCCTGCTCGAGCTGGCCCGGCCTCGGGGATCGCCTCGGGTGGGGCTGCCTGGCAGAGCCGCTGGCGTCCAGGAGCTCCTCCGGCTGCAGGTACTGCTGGAACTTGGCCAGCTGCGACCGGAACGACAGGGCCTCGCCGAAGTCATCCTCGAGCACACCGTCGGTGGGCTGCCGCTCCTGCCGCGCGGCCGCGCGGTGCCACGCCGCATCGGGCCGGGTCCCAGCGATGGGCGGCACGGGCGCCTGGCGGCGGTCTCTGGGCGACCTGGGTGCGCCCTGCTGGGAGCCGCCCCTGGGGCTGTTCTTGGGGCTGTGCGACGACGCCCGCAGTCTCGGTGAGGAAGATGACACCGCGTGCGCTCGTGGGGTGCGCCCCATCCTGGCGAAGTCAGGGCGGGCTGCGGAAGGTTGCCGGTGGGGCGCGCAGCTGGGGCCGAGATGGCCTTGAGCCAGAGGGCCACGGACGGGTGGTGGGGAGCGTCAAGAACTACACTAGTTAGGTCCCCACTGCCAGCGCCACGAAGTGTCGCAAATTTCGCTGGCTTGCGCTTCTAGGGCCACGACCCATCCCAAGTTGCATTGGACCCACGCTCCCAGGCAAACGATCCCACGAAAGTTACGCTGGATCGTGACGCTGGATCCGCACTCCCAACGCCACGATCCCTTGCAAATTGCGCTGGATCCGTGCTTACACGGCCACGATCCCTCGCACGTTGATATCCGCGCTCCAATGGCCTCCCAAGGCCTCCGCACCCCCTTGTGAATGATTCCGTGCGGGAGGCGCGCCGTCTTCGAGCGGGCACGCAGTCCTTGAAGTTTGTGAACGTCTGGTCCCAGCGTTTCGTTCCAGCTTCTACACAGAACCCTCCGGATCATGATGTTTATCGAGGCCCCGACGTGGAGCGAACACTTTCCGCACTTTCCTCAAAACTCACTTCTTCAACCAAAAACAAGCCCGTACCGTAGCTTGCTACTTTTCGGGCATGCCTCCACCAGCCCCCTTCAGTCATGGCGCTGGGGACAGATTTACCAACCACAGAAAAAAACATAAAAAACCTTGGCCCACCCCATTCTGGCAACAAATGTCGACCCTCGATCCTCGATGCTCGTCGTGGCCGCCGCCGCCGCATCCGTCGCCGCCGCCGCCGTCGAGGGCGGCGCCGCCGTCGACGGCTGCGACAACGTCGACGACGACGAAGACACCGCAACCGTCGCCGTCGGCGGCGGCGGCGTTGCCTGGCCACATGCGAGTGACCTCAGGCAAGCGTGACCTCTGGTGCGCTGCTTCGGTGCGCCGCGGGTGGGCCAGCTCCGAGCACGCAAGCCGGTGCTGGGGGGACCCGGCGAAGAGGCCACTCCGGCGAAGAGCCACTCCTGCGTGCAGCCGAGGCGTGGCGGCAACGGCAGCGCCGCCGCCGCCGCCGAAGCCGCCACCTGCGACGGCGACGGCGACGAGGACGAGACGAACACGAGGACGACGACGACGACGCCGACGACGACGCCGACGACGCCGACGACGTCGACGACGACGTGGACGCGGCGAGCCTGTCTCGACCCGCTCCGCCGCAAGGCGCCGCCGCTCCCCGGTGCCGGCGCGCAGCTCGGCCAGCAGCGTGCGGGCCGCCGCGATCTCCTGCTGCGCCGGCGGCCGGCTGCCGCCGCCGCCGCGGTCATCGGCGCCGCCGCCACAGGCGACGATGACGACGCCGCTCCTTCGGCTACACGTCGGAGTGACCCAGTAAGGAGCCGAGCTCTATACACCGACGCTTCTTCTGGCCGCGCACTGAAGCTCGCACAGGGAAGCGGATCCTGGTGTGTACGGGGTCCTTGTGTAGACATTTTTCGTTACCTCTCCAGGGAAACGGGGACACGAAGTATACACCACACCACCCCGACGTCGTCCCTGACACTCAAACATTCTTGGGATTGAAAACAGCCCGCCACTGGTAATGTATGTGCTCCAGTTTCCGACCTAGGCAAGAGTGACCTTTGGTGCGCGGCTTTAGGAATGCGAAATCAGCACGCCAGCTGGTGCTGGCGGTACAACTGTGGGCCCGCACCAAAGGTCATTCCAGCGAAGGGTCACTCTTGCATGTAGTCGACCGCCGCTGCCGCCGACGGCGGCGGCGGCGCCGACGCCAACACCAGCTGCGGCGCCGTCATCGTCGGCGCCGCCGCCGCCGTCGATCGATTGAGCATCAGGCATATGCTTGATCTTCGATCGAGCGACCCCCCTGGGAGCTTCTGGGGGCCTCCGGGTGCCACCCGGGGGGCCTCCAAGGGGGGGTTCGATCGATCGATCCTCGATCGACCCACATGATTAGCCTTCCCAAATATCCGATGTCGTGATTTTTTCAATGCGCGGTCCTTGGAAATCTCGACCCATTCCCCAGGACCGGTGTTTCATCCTGAGTCGTTTTCTGACGGTCCCGGGGCCCGGCGAGGGCCCCCGGGGGCCGAAATTTGAGAAAAACCTCCGTCTTGATTTTTTCATTACGTTGGATCTCTGGGAGCCTTCGACCGATCGATCGATCGCCGGAGCCCTTGAACACCGCAGGGCTTCGGCGACCGGCGGCCCCCTGCACGCAGGGGAGGGGGAGGAGGGGGAGGAGGAGGAGGAGGGGGAGGAGGAGGAGGGGGAGGGAGGAGGAGAGAGGAGGAGGAGGAGGAGGAGGAGGAGGAGGAGGAGGAGGAGGATATGGTTGGCCTTCGATCGATCGATCGATCGCCGGAGCTCCGGAGCATCGCAGGGCTCTCCGGCGACCGGCGGGTCCCCGCACGCATAGGGGGCCTCCGCGGGCCGCCCCCGAGCGCCCGGTCGCGGCCCCCGCTGGTCGTGGCCGCCGTCGTCGTTGTCGTCGCCGCCGTCGTCGTGCTCGTCGCTCTCCTCCGCCTCCTCCCTCCCCCCCTCTCCTCCTTCCCTCCTCCTTCCTTCCCTCCTCCCTCCCCCCCTCTCCTCCTTCCCTCCTCCCTCCTTCCTTCCTCCCTCCTCCCTCCTCCTTCCCTCCTCCTTCCTCCTTCCTTCCTCCGCCCTTTCCTCTTCCTCCCCTTGGCCACCGTCGTCGTGCTCGTCCTCGTCGCTATCCTCCGCCTCTCTCCTCCCCCCTCTCTCCCTTCCCTCCTCCTTCCTTCCTCTCCCTCCCCCCCTTCTCCTCCTTCCCTCCTCCTCCTTCCTTCCTCCCCTCCTCCTCCTCCTTCCCTCCTCCTTCCTCCTTCCTTCCTCCGCCCTTTCTCTTCTCCCCTTGGCCAACCCGTAGACGTGTCGTCGCTCTCCCTCCCGCCCCTCCCTACCCCCCTATCCTCCCTTTCCCTCCCTCTCCTTCCCTCCTCCCTTCCCCACCCTCTTCCTCCTTCCCTCATCCCTCCCTTCCCTTCCTCCCTAATCCCTCCTCCCTTCACTCCTCCTTCATCCTTCATTCCTCCTCCCTTTCCTCTTCCTCCCCTTGGCCAACGTTCGTCGTTGCTCGTCGCTCTAATCCGCCTTCCTACCTCCACCACCACTTTCCTTCCCTTCCCTCCTCCTTCCCTCCTTCCTCCCTCCCCCTTCCTCCTTCCCTCCTCCTTCTCCTTACTTCCTCCGCATTTGCTCTTCCTCCCCTTGGCCACCGTCGTCGTTCTCGTCGCTCTCCTCCGCCTCCTCCCTCCCACCCTCTCCTCCTTCCCTCCTCCTTCCTCCTTCCTCCCGTACATGGGCAATCTATTCGAGGCCTTGCACATTCGAGGGGGATTCTAAAGCACCCCCGCGCCCCCGACATCAATATTGATCTCAGTAAAGGCGTTGCTTTGGGGTTCGAATATTTCTGCCCACTCACGCCCCCCCCGTCGCCACGCCATCAATATTAATCTCGGGGGGTCTGGGGAGCATCTTGGGCCACAGGGTTCGGATAGAATGTCCACGTGCTGTCCTTCCTCCTCAGTCTTTTCTTCCTTCCTCCTTACTCCTTCCTCCTTCCTCCGCCTTTTCCTCCTCCTCCCCTTGGCCAGCGGAGGCTCAACAGTGGGCACAGAGCACGCGCTCGGCACCTGGGCTCGCAGAAGAAAACGGTCGTGCGCCAGTGGGAGGCCCTCAGACCAGGACCGAGCGCCGTGCACGCGGCAGGCGCGCCTGCGTCAGGGGTCCGCAGGTCCGCTCGCGGGGGGCCTGGCGTGTCCTGCCCCTTTTATATAGAGGAACATAATACTGCATAAACCCAAACTTCGCGGAGCTCCGCGCGACTGTCGCGCATCTGCGCTGGCACCCCCCTTTCCATGGCGCGCGGAGCGCGCCAGGGGCGGCGCCGGAGGCGCCGATCCAGGGCGGGGCCGGGCGCCGATCCAGGAAATCCGCGCAGAGCTCCGAAAGCTTGCGCTTCTGCAGTGCTTCGCTCCTCGAGCCTTCCTGGCCCCCTCCCCCCCCCCCACACACGCACAAATCAGAGGATATGTTAACGAAGCATGGCCGCGAGGAGTGCTTGGAAGCTCCCGAACGACGTGAACCCCACCCTTCCCCTCGGAAATCGTGGGGGATGGGGGTAGGGTTCGCATGTGGCCCCCGACCTGAATCTACCCTCGCCCCCCCCTAAAAAAAATCGGGCCCCCGCCGCGCCCCGCCCCCCCGGTCTCCTCCGCGAGGTTCTCGTCTCCGAAGTTCTGGAAGCCCTCCGCCGCCGCCTCGGGCCGCCGCTCCGCAGAGTTGTGCGGGGGCCGGCCGGGGGCGGCGAGGAGGGCGGGGGGCGGGCCGCTCGGCTCGGTGAGCCCGCGGAAGTCTCGGCAGCGAGCAGCAGGGGGAGGGGAGGGGAGGGGAGGGGAGGGAGGGGGGGAGAGGGGGGGGAGGGAGGGAGTGGGAGGGAGAGCGGAGGACGAAGAGGACGAGGACGAGAGAGTGGGGCGGGGACGGGGGCGGGGGAGGGGAGGAGGAGGGGAAGGTCATTGACGCATCTCTGGCTTCAAACGCTCCCCTAAAGCAGTGCAACCGAAAGAAGGGGAAGGGAGGGGAGGGGGAGGCGGAGGTGGAGGAGCCACTTTCTTTGTTCACGGCGCTGGCGATCGCTCAACGAGGGACAGCTGGGTCGGGGTGGGAGGGGGCGAACGACACCGAGGGTAGGCGACGATGAAGGACGAGGGCGGCTGCGGAGGGGGAGGCAAGGAGGGGATGGCACCCAGAACAGGATGAGCTGTCCATGGGGGAACAGAAAGTGGCATAAACATAACAACTCGGAGGTCTGCGCGGATTTCTCGGATCGGCACCGGAGCCCCCCAGCGGCGCCTCTGGCGCCGCCGCTGGCGCGCTCCGCTCGCCAAGGAGGGGGTCCAGCGCCGATCCGAGCAATCCGCGCGGACCTCCGAGTTTTTTTTATGCCTATGCCACTGTTTGCTCCCCAAGTCCAGGCTGCCCGAGCTGCGGCCCAGGCTCCGGCAGGAGCCGCGCAATGCAAAGGGGCAACAGGGGGGCTGCGCAGTGCCGACCTGCCAGGATGCAGGCAAGCGCCTGTATCGAGGGCGGCAGCCTCGTTGGACATCGCCATCTCGACACCCCTGCGGTCCTTGCGACCCACCCCGCGTCGCGGGGCGGCCTCCGCAGGCAGGTCGGCCTCCACCTCGGTGCGTCCGGCCCTGAGGCAGCGAGCCGGAGCCTGGGCGCGCGTCCAGCTCCGCCCGTCGGCAGCCCCGCACGGCAACCTCTCTGCGAGGATGCGGGCGCCCGTGGTGCGGGACACGCAGAGAGCAAGAGGCAGGGAGGGGAGGAGGAGGAGGAGGAGGAGGAGGAGGAGGAGGAGGAGGAGGAGGAGGAGGAGGAGGAGGAGGAGGAGGGGGAGGGGGAACCCGCTGCTGGCACCTCGTGGCTCCGTCGAGGCGCCGAAGCCCCCTGCTGGACCGCTGCGGCGTGGGGTGCGCGCCGCGCCGGCCACCGTCGGGAGCGGAGCGTGCCCGCGTGCGCCGTGCGCCGCCTCCGGCGGCCGCCCTCGGGGCAGCGGTGGCCGCAGCCACGAGGACGAAGGCAGGGCGAGGAGCACTTCGGGCGGGGATAGCTCGAGAGCCTCTGAGATCCGGCGCTTCTGGAGGATCTCTCGGGCGCCGCGGCCTCCTCGGAGCGCTCCGGAGCGCTCTCCGGGAGCGTTCCGGAGCGCCCTGGAACGGATTTACACGCTGGTCGGAAGTAGGTAAAAGCATGGAGTAGGAAGGGGGATGAAGTAGATTGGGTTCAGGCCCTCCCCGAGAATTACAGAGCACAGCAGAAGCAGATCCACTCCTGAAGCAGGACGGCGCTTGAAGCAGACTGGGATCTGGGGGTCCAAAAACACCTACCTTCACCGACGCGCGTGCATCCTCGTCCTGGCCCCGTCCGCGTCGCAGCTCCTGCCCGCGGCGCGGCTGGCTCCGCAAAAGTCCGCATGCTTGAAGGGGCCCCGGGACACACAAACAGATACACACAAATAAAAATGTTCCCCCTCTTTCCCCATATGTTCTGGGATTTTCTCTTCCCCCCCCCCACTTTTTCCCCTATCTTCCTGGGAAGCGACGATAAATAATTGTGTCTGTGTGTTTTTTCCCCTCCTGACTGCTGGCTGCTGGCTCTGCCGTGCCTGCCGCCCTTTTGTCTTCCCGGAGGCGGCGCCCGCGGGGCGGCCGCCTGCTGGCCGCGCCACGGGGCTCCTCGCTGCCCGCCCCCGGGGGCCCGTCCGAGCGCTCTCTCTCTCGCTGGGTGCCGCCGCCACCCGCTCGCATCGCCGCGGCCTCGCTGGGGCCGAGCGGCGGTCCTGCCCTCCTCCTCCTGCCCTCCTCCCCCTCCTCCTCCTCCACATACTACTCCTCCTCCTCCCTCTTCTCTTCCTCCTCCCCCTGCCCTCCTCCTCCTCCTCTCCTCCTCCTTCTCATCATCCACCTTCACTCCTCCTCATCCTCCTCCTCCTCCTCCTCCTCCTCCTTCATCCTCCTCCTTCCTCCTCCTCCTCACCCTCGCCTCCTCTCTCCTTCCTCCGCATACTCTTCATCCCTCTCCTCCTCCTATTCCTCCCCTCCTCCTCCTCCTCCTCCTCCTCCCCGTAGCCATTTTGGCTCAAGTCCTTTTTGGCTCCCTGGGGGGGGCCAAAGGGGGCTTGGGCGCCGTAGCCTGTCTGGCTTCAGGCGCGCCGTGGCGGCAGGGCAGCCCCTGCCAGGCCCTGGCCGCCACGGTTTCTGGCACCGCGGTCCTCCGAGGGAGGAACAGTTTTGCTTTCGCCCGTGCTCGGGCCAGCTCGCCGCACTCGCATTGCGCATGGGAGGCAATGGAAAGAAGGGCGAACGAGCTGGAGGCCACTCGCAGTACGTCAAGTGCCACGCGTGCGGGGACCGCTGGAACTGGCGCTCGAACACTTCGTGCTACCAGTGCGGCAAGGGCCTGCAGCCTGCGCGCTCACAGGAGAGGGCCCCAGCAGGCGCATGGGCGGACGGGTCTCGCCGACACAGCCGCCCGCGCCGTGGTGGTCAGGCCCAGCTGCCCGCCCCAGACGAGCTTGTTCGGCAACTGCGGACCGCGCTGCAGCAGCCTGATGTCCGTGGGGGCCCCGAGGACGTGCAGCAGGTCGACGCGCTGGCGCAGGCGCTCGGGCCGCCGCAGTCGGAGCACCCAGATGTCGTCCTCAACCAGGCCCGCGCCAGGGTTCGCCGTGCCGAGGCGTCCCTGCGCACCGCGGTCGCGGCAGTGGCGGACGCGGAGGAGTGGCTGGCACGCAAACGCGCCGAGCAGGAGGCCGCCATCCTCGAGGTCGCCGACGCCGAGGCGGCTGCGGCTCAGGCGTACGCCGCGGCTGCACCGCCAGGCGACGCTCGGGCGCCAGACGCTTCAGCTGCAGCAGCGGAACGCGGCGGCGCGGTGCTGGACCTCTCAAGGCTGCTCTCGGAGGAGTCGGGGGCGCTGGAGGTTCAGGCAGGGGAGCTGTTCGACCTCGAGGGCCTCGACATCAGCGACGCCGAGAAGCTGCAGTTCGAGGGGCAGATCGCCACGTTCGTCACGCAGCTGCGCGGCGAGGTGCAGAAGCATTTCGGCCCCGCCGCGGAGGGCCTCAAGGCCATGCGCGCAGACCTCCAGCGCATGCAGGACCGCCTCAAGTCCAAGAGGCCGAGGTCTGCAGCGCCTGCGCAAGGGGAGCCAGCTGCCCCAGCAGGCGCGCATCCTGCAGCCGCGGCCGCCGCTGCCGCCAAAGGTGCAGGAAAAGGTGAGGGGAAGCCCGCGGGGCCCCAGGACCAGCCAGCGGCCCCTCCCGCTTCGGGTCCTGATGGCGCTGCTGACCCTGCTGGGTCAAGCGCAGGCCGGCCTGCCGCAGGGCCCTCAGGGGTCAGTCGACCGCCCATGGACCCTGCCCAGCGGGAGCGAATCCTGGCCAGAGCGGCTGCCGAGCCTCCAGGGGCTCCCGAGCAGCGATGAAGGTTCGGCCTCAGGAGGCCAGGACCACGCCCCGCGGGTAGCCCCGCCGCCCTGGAGCGCTGTCCTTCGCGTCCATCGTCGGCCATCGCGTCGTGGACTGCAGCGCGGACGCGGGCGGCGTCCGACATCATCGGCGCCGATGCCGCCAGGGACCTACCCGAGCCTGAAGCTGCAGCACGGCGGCGAGAGCAGGCGGGTGCAGTTCTTCGACCACGGCCTCGCGTTCGACGTGCGCTCGGACGCGGGCATCCCCGCGGAGTCCGCTCAGGAAGGGCACTGGCGACTCGAGCGAGCCAGGAGCCCGCCATGGGAGCGAGCCCCCGAGCCGAAGGACCAGGACCCTCAACGGCGTAGGGCTTTGCGCAGGAAGTGGACGCTGGAGCGGAGGCTGCGCTCTTACACAGGGCACTGGCTCGGGGACCCGCACACGATCGATGAGGAGATGGACGAGCTCGGCTGGCGGCGAATACGCGTCCCCTACGTGGCCCGCTTCCTGGAGCATCCCAGCATGGATCCTCTGGTCGTCGAGAGAGCGGAGCAGCAGCGCGTGACCATGTCCCAGGCGAGAGTCGACATGGCGATCGACATTTGCGTGGAGGCTTTTCGTCGTAGGCGGCGCCAAGCGTCAACGGTACTCAGCATAGATGGTGAACCTGGCTTACACGGACCCTCGAGAGTGGCTGCTGCAGTGGGGCTTCCACCGCGACGCCATGAGGGACGACGCCGAGGACCTCGCGGAGGGTCGAGGGCTTAGTCAGGCCCACGCAGATCGGGAGCTGGTCAACTTTGAATGCAGCCACCTGCAGAGCACGGGCAGCGTCGACACTCGCAGCGTCTGCTCGGCCAGCAGCACAGTCGCGCGCACCCGCGGCAAGGGTGCGCGATACAAGCCTGATATGATATGCATGGGGATCAATGCCAACTCCTGGAGCTCTCTCCTCGACTACCTGGACGCCCACCCGCTCGGCGCCAACGTGCTGGCCTTCGTCCAGGAGCACAAGCTCACCAAGGACTACATCGGTGAAGTTAGTGCATCCTGCTTTGATCGTCACCTGGTGGTTGGGTTTGCCCAGGCCAGCACAGGCCCAGGAGGAGGGCGCGTGGCAGGCGTCGGTTTCCTGGCCCCGCGAGCTTTGGGGCTCACCTTCCTCGAGGGCGTCAACACCTACGACTTCTCGCCGCCAGGCTCCCCAGGGCGACCCGCTGCTGCTTGGACTCCTGGCTTCCTGCGCGGCGGTCTGATGGTGCTCACCGCGTACTTCTGGGACTCGGAGGGCTGGACCCTACGGAACCTCTCTCTCCTGGACGCCATCGGGGAGATCGTCAGGTCGTGCGACATTCCATGGATCCTCCAGGCCGAGATCAATGACACGCCCGAGTCGCTCCTGGCGGGGCGCTGGTGCAGTGACGCAGGGGGGGATCATCCTGGCGCCCGCCGAGCCCACGTGCCAGGGGCGAGGCGGTGGGCGTACCATTGGCTTCTTCGTGGTGGACTCCCGCATCGCCCAGGCCTTCGGGGAGGCCACGGTCCGGGACGCGGCGACTTACCCGCATAGCCCCGCCACCATCATGACCACCGCGCCAGTGAGAGCCATGACGGGCTGGCGCCTGGTCAAGCCCAGGGCGCCCCCCACCAGGCTGCCTATCGGACGCCGTCCTCAACCGCCGACCTGGCCAGACATCCAGCCCCTGGGCCAGTGCACGGACGGCCAGCTGGGCACGCTCTGGCGCCAGTTTGCCGCGGCGGCGGAGACGGAGCTACAAGGTCTGTTTGATGTCAGGGGCGAGGAAGATTATCGAGGTCGCGGTGAGGCTCCGAGGTGGGCGCGCGCCCCGCTGGCAGGCCCACTGGTCTATGCGAGGCCGCGAGGCACCACGCGCTCCCGAGCATGGCGCTGGGTGGCAGCGCGCGTGGGCGACCTCGTCCTGCTGGCGGATGCGGCGCGCCGACAGGGATGGGGGCCGCTGGCCAGTCGCTGGCGCAGGCTGCATAGGCGACTAACCCATGGCTCCTCACGCCGGTGCGCGGCCTTGGGCGACGATGCGGAGGCGACGCACGGCGAGCTGCTGCGCCTCGCGGCTCTGGCCTGGGAAGGCGACAGCCTCCGCTCGGATGCCCCGCAGGCGATGCAGCTGCAGCTGCAGCGGCGCCTCGGAGGCCAAGGCCATCGAGACTGCCCTGCAGGGGCAGCGGGCTAAGGCTTGGCGCGAGCGGCTTCATGCAGGCTCAGCTGGAGGCGCAGGTTTCAGTCATCGCCTGTCGAAGTGGAGGCCTGGAACGGCGCCTTCGACAGGAGCTCGAGGCCACACCAACCTCGACCTGGCGGACCCCCAGGTCGCGGTGGACGCGGAGGCGCTCGGCTGGACGGAGCTCTGGCAGTCCCACGGCGCCGAGAGTCGCGGCGAGCTGCCTAGGCCATGGGAGGCAGCGGAATTCTCCACGTGCCTGGTCCATCCCACCCCCGACGATATTCGCATGATTTGTCGATCCTTTCCTGAACACACGGGGGTGGGGGTGGACAACTGGCACCCGCGGTGGTGGGCCTTTCTGAGTGATGAAGGTTTTGGGTTTTTGGCCAACTTCGTGGCCTTTGTTTCTCGGACGGCGCGCTGGCCCACCCAGCTGCGACACGTTCTGTATTTCCTGCTTTCCAAACCCTCGGGGGCACCAGGCCCATAGGCCTCCTCACCACCTCCGCCCGAGTCGCCGGGCGAGCTCACGCCGCCTTGTTTTTTCGACTGGGAGCGATCGATTCGCCGAGATTACGATTTCGCCGCGCCCGAAGGGGGGTCGGAGGCTGCCATGTGGCATCATATGATAGTTGACGAGGGAGTCTCCCCTGGCGCAACGTCGGGCACGGCAGTCCTAGATTTGCACAAGGCCTTCGAGCATTGCAGTATGCATTTGTTGTGGGCGGAGGCACCCAGGCACAGTTTCCCTCCTCAGCTGCCCAAGTTGCTTATATCCATCTACACCAGCGAGCGGCTGGTTTCCGTTCGAGGGGTAGTCTCCCCCCACACTACCACCACCTTTTCCGCAGTAGTGGCGGGCCGCGCGGGAGGTACGCGCTGTCTGAAGTTGGCCATCCTGTCGGTCACCGACTCGATATCCAGACTCCAGCCTACGCTCCATCTCAAGTTGTTCGTCGACGACCTCAGCCTGCGGGCTCGAGGTTCGGAGGAGGATGTGTCTTTGGCCTTGTACGATGGAGTTTCTCATTATGCACAGGCCATGGAGGCCCGAGGCATCCCTGTGCCGAGAGCCAGGCCAGGGGGACCCCCAGGGAAAGGGTTCATCCTGGCTGCCAGCCGCCCCCTTCGC